AGCTGGATTCCACACAGCCGACCTGGCAGCTTGAAAAACATGCCCAGAGAGAGAAATGGAGAGAAGACTGCAGTGGCATGATCATACCCCATGGGGGATGCTTTCGATTTTCTTCCACCTACCACACGCACACACCACTTGGCAAAATTTTAAAAGGAAAAAAAAATACTGATAGATCTTTTGTATTTGTTCATTTACTTCTGCTGTCATCTTTATCTCTTCCTTTCCTTCTAAGTTTAGTGTGTGCTTCATTTGCTAGCTCCTTGAGGTGCATTGTTAGGTTATTTGAAACCTTTCTACTTCTTAGATGAAGGTGTTTATTGCTATAAACTTCCTTCTTAGCATGGTGTTTGCTGTATCCCATAAGTTTCCCTGTGTTGTGTTCTCATTTTCATTTGTTTTGAGAAATATTTAAATTTCCTACTTAAGCCCTTCATTGGCCCAGTGGCCAAGGAGCATGATATTTAATCCCATATATCTTAACAGTTTCCTAAGTCCCTCTTTCTACTTTATATTTTGATCCACTGTACTTAGAAAAGGTAGTTGATACAGACTTAAAAATTTTTGTTGAGGCTTATTTTGTAACCTTACATATCCTGGAGAATGCTCCAGGGTGCTGATGAGTGTGCATCCTGCATCTGCTGAATGAAATGTTTTATAAATGCCAAATTAAGTCCATTTGGTTTACAGTGCAATTTAACTCAAATTCTTAATTCTGTTTAGCCAGACAGCACAATGCACTTGCAGGAGACAGAGAGAGGGAAAATAAGAAAGCACCCCACATGGGGGAATGATCACTTCCAATTCTTTCGCCATCTCTCCCTCCTTTGGGGCATGCATACACACATGCTAGCACGTTTCTTGGGCTACTGGGTCTAAGGCTCTAACCATGTGGTTGGCCATATAGAATCGCCTTAACCACCATGCTATGAGCTAGTCCAATTCAGACTTTATCAAGGATTTCCTGTCTGGATGATCTCTTCAGTGCTGGGAATGGGGTGCCTATCTCTCCCCTTCAGATCTTGTAATATATGCTTTATATATTTGGGTGCATATGTAATTATCATCATTAAATCATCTTGCTAAGTTGAATCTTGTATCATAATATAATGACTGTCTTTAAGAGATAGTAGGAGGGTGTGCATTCACCGGAAAGAGCACACCTCCCCCAATGGGGCATGATCACTCCATTTCCACATCCTGTCACAATTTGGAGCACATAGCCTGGAATGTTTGTCAAGCCAGTAGGGCCAGAATTTAAACCAGTCAGCCATGTGAGACTTGACTTCTTTAACCATGAGGCTATGGTTCCAGTTCTCTTTTTACAAAAATTTTTGAGAGGTTTTTGCTATAGGGCGCGTGCACTCACCAGACAGACAGAGACAGAAAGCGAGAAATCACCCCCCCAGGGGGGATGGCCATGCCACAATTCCTTCTCTTCCATTCTCCTCTTGGGATATTAGGCACGTACACACACGCGCCCAGCGTGAGTTTTAAGCCACCGGGTCTGGGACGCGAACCGTGGTCGACTACATGGGAGTCCAGCGATATAGCCATTATGCTAACTGCTGGTCCCTCTTTTTACATATTTTTTACTTAAAATTCTATTTTATCTGACAACAAATCCTGCTTACTTTTGGTTTCCATTTCCATAAAACACTTTTCATTCTCTCACTGTCAATAAGTCATTACTACTGAAGTAAGATTTTTATGAAGTATACAGTTAGTCTTGTATTTTTAAATCTATTCCACAAGTATGTATCTAAACTATTTACATTCAACTAATGAGGATTTTCTATCATTTCATATTTTCTAATTTTGTATTTCACTTATTTCTTCATGTTTATCTTTGTGATTTGATGATTTTCTCTAGAGTTAAGGACTTTCTCACTTGCATATATTCTGAGTGAGTTTTATACTTTCATGTGCTTTGTTTATGATGGTAGTTATCCTTTTGCTTTCAGATGTAGCACTCCCTTAAGCATTTCTTGTAAAGCTGGTCTTGTGGAGGCAAATTCCCTCAGTTTTTGCTTGTTTTAGAAAGACTGTTTTTCCTTCACGTCTGAAGGACAGCTTTGCTGGATCAAGTATTCTTGGCTGGCAGTTTTCTTCTTTCAATACTTTGAATATATCATGCCATTCTCTTCTAGCTTGAAAGGTTTCTAAGAAATCTGTTAGTCTAATGGGGATTCCGTATATGTGACTTGTCCCTTTTCTCTTGCTGCTTTTAGAATTCTCTCCTGGTCTTTACATTTTGACAGTTTCATTATAATGTGCCTTGGAGAGGGTCTTTTTGGGTTCAATCTTTTTGGGGACCTTTGAGCTTCCTGAATCTGGATGTGCATCTCCTGAGACTTGTTAAGTTTTCAGATATTATTTCAATGAAATAACTTTTCTATGTCTTTTCCTGTCTCTTCTCCTTCTGGAACTCCCATAACATGAATATTTGTTCATTTAATACTATCCCATATTCTTTTTTTTCTGTTTTTATCTCTGACTGGATTATTTCAAATGACTTGTCTTCAAGTTTGGAAATTCTTTCCTCTGCTTGATAAAGTCCCTTGTTAAAGCTCCCAATTGTAGATGATATTTCTTTCTTTGGCTCCTTCTGCTCAAAGATTTCTTCTTTGTTCTTTTTAATGACCTCTGCTACTTCACGGACCTAATCTTTCAGATCTTGTAATGATTTCATTAATTCGTTGAATTGCCTATCACTACTCTCTTGTATCTCATTGAGTTTCCTTATAATAAAAATGTAGGATTCGTTTTTAGACATTTCACAGATTTCCTTCATTGTGGGGTATGTTGCTGGAGTGTTATTGTATTGCTTTGGGAGTGTCATACTAGCTTCTTTTTTCAGGTATCTTGTATCCCTATATTGATATTTGTTAATTTGGTGAATAGTGGTCTGTACCAGTTCTATAGGATGGCATTCCAGGTGAAAAAACTTTCTCCAGTAGTTGTGTCCTAGAATGCCAGTTGTATAGACTATGTTGGCTTTGGCTCTAGCTAGGCACAGTGGTATAGTAGTATCTTCACCTGTAATCAGTATCAGTGATTACTAGAAGTGATGCAGTGGCCTAGCTGGGTGTTCTTGGAATGTGATAGGGTGGGGCTTCTGAAGCAGCACAGTTGTGTCTACACTCACTCTCCCAACCTGATTCTTGAAGATGCAGAAGGTCAGCCCTCTGAAACTGAGCTGTGGGCAGGGTTGCTCACTCTGCCACTCCCATGGGACATACAAGTATGTGGGGGAGGTAAGGCTGCCTCAATAGCTCCTGGTGCTAGTGGTTTTGGAAAGGGGTCTTTGCCCAGCTCCTCCTGCACAATGCAGGTGGATATGGTCACAGGACAGCTTTGCCACAACCTGTGTGGGGGATGGTACAACAAAGACTGGACTTCTCCCCTGTGGTAATCCAGCAGTGTGGACAACCCTTGGTCACTCCCTAAATTGGGCTCAGGGCCTGTGAGGGCTATAGACTTTCTCTGTAGTAAAATTCAGGTGTAGAAGGTGTCAGTGGTACTGCTGAAGGTTTCTTGCTTGTTCTTTCCCCAGAACAAGAAGTCCCTTCTCTAGTTCCTAGTTGATCTTGACTAGGGTGATAGGGAAGGAGATGCGGAGCACTTTCCTCCCCTTTCTACAAAGCCTTCCTGAGTCTCCTGTGCTCTGCAGTGTTTCTACCACACTCACACTGCATCCCAATATTCTCCCTCGAACACAGCGGTGAATATCAGTTGCTGATTCTTTGTTTTGGTCCTTTTATCTTGAGAGGGAAGTATGTTAGACACTTCTAGTAGTCATCTTGTCAACGTTTTTAACAAAAGGAAATTCTTTGAACCTGAAGCATTCTGCAAGTCACGCTACCAGAAAGATCCCAATTTGTATGTCAACAGTCTTCTGTGAGGTGGGTTAGAAAAGTGACTTCACATCCAAATTCTAACTCTGGGATAAGAGTTCAGGGTGGACTGTGCTAAGGACCTGGCTCACAGCTGCCCACGGTTGGAGGGCTGACCATACTCTCTACCAGCCAAATCCCTGGAGAGGATGAGTGGACCACACACAGGCTAATATGAATTATTAACTTGTGATGAAAAGTCATAAAGGTAAATGAGTTGGAATAACTGTGACAGCAGAATGGTAACAAGTTGATCCTGAAAATTCTTACATTAAAAGCTTTCCTGACAGTAGCAAGAGTTCACAAGACACTCTGTTAGGGGCCAGAAGGCACTATGTTGGGGTTGGCAGGTGGTATGGAGGCTAAGGTGCTGGACTCCCACATAGCCAACCATGATTCGAGTCCTGGACCTGGCAGCTTGCTTTCTCATTTTGCCTTTTTCTCTCTCTGGTCAAATTAAGAAATAGTAACAATAAATAAAATAAAACAAATAGAAGATGACGATGACAATGAATGGAAGGCCTGTGAGATTCAAAGACACTACTGGTGGCTAGTGAGGGGAATGACCTGTCATTGTGCTCAATGACAGTAAGCAATCAATATACACTCAGATTTGTGTCTGTATACATAATTATTTTATTGTGGTATCTTTCTTGATAAAAATACTCAATGGGGGGATTGGATATGCACAAATGTTTTAGATTCAACATAAGAATGAAAAAAAAAAAAACGCCCACAACACTCCTAGACAATGCGTTAGATTCAACATAAGAATGAAAAAAAAAAACAAAACGCCCACAACACTCCTAGACAATGTGTTCTGCAACAAACATCTAAGATTTATTACTATCATATACTTCATATTGCTTTACCATTCAACTTATTGGCATTGTACTTGTGCCACAGTAAACAGGATTATCATTAGTATGACTTAACATAATCTTTCACATGAAGAAAGGCAACAGTGTTTCATTGTATTTTTCATGAGAAGGCTTCCAGTGCACCAAACTGACTCTATTCCTTTCCACTATGAATGCCCCCAAAGTTTAATGAGGCTGCTAGTGATGTGGGCAAGAGTCCTCCTTTATCCTTAGGTGCCTGGAAAGAGTCCTCCTTTATCATTCAGTGCCTTCTCAGAGTGTCTCTTCTGTAATGTGTGACATTTTGATGTAAGCCTTTCTACCTATAATAATATATTTTTCTGCTTCTCGGATACAATAAAGTACAATAGACTTGTCACCAATAAGGTTTTCTCACACTGTTTCTCTCAAGTGTGAATATTCTGATGTACACTGAGCACTGATTTTTGAACAAAGCCTTTGCCACAGACTACACATTTGTAGGGTTTGTCTCCAGTATGTGTTGTCTGGTGTTTATTCAAATTTGACCTATCAGTGAAGGCCTTCCCACACTCAGCACACACATAAGGCTTCTCTCCTGTGTGAATTCGTTGATGCACTTGGAGTTGTGATTTCTTAGTAAAAGATTTCCCACAGTCACTGCATTCATAAGGTTTCTCTCCAGTATGAATTCTGTGATGTGTAATCAACTCTGATTTCTGTCTGAAAGTCTTTCCACATTCAGAACAGATGTAAGGTTTCTCTCCAGTATGAGTTTTCTGGTGTTTGCTGAGATTTGACCTGCCACTAAAGGCTTTCCCACACTCAGCACACACATAGGGTTTCTCTCCTGTGTGAATTGGCTGATGCACCAGGAGCTGAGACTTGGAAGTGAAGGATTTTCCACAATCACTGCATTCATAAGGTTTTTCTCCAGTGTGAATTCTCTGATGAGTAATGAAGTTTGATTTCCGGATGAAGGCTCTTCCACATTCAGTACATACATAAGGTTTTTCTCCAGTATGAATTTTCTGATGTACAATGAGTATTGATTTCTGATTGAAGGCTTTCCCGCATTCATGGCATTCATACTGTCTCTCCCCAGTATGAATTTTCTGGTGTATGTTGAGGTGTGACTTCTGAGTGAAGGCTTTTCCACAGGTACTGCATTCATAAGGTTTTTCTCCAGTATGAATTCTCTGATGTGTAATCAAGTCTGACCTTTGAGTGAAGGCTTTTCCACATTTGGAACATACATAAGATTTCTCTCCTGTATGAGTTTTCTGATGTGTAATGAGATTTGACCTATTGGTGAATGCCTTCCCACATTTATTACACATATAAGGTTTTTCTCCTGTGTGAATTCGTTTATGTACATGGAGTTGTGACTTGGAAGTAAAGAACTTCCCACAGTGACCACATTTGTAAGGTTTCTCTCCAGTATGAATTATTTGATGTGCAATCAAATGTGCCTTTTGGATGAAGGCCAGTCCACATTTCATACATACATAGGACTTTTCTCCTGTATGAATTCTCTGATGCACTGTGAGTGCTGACTTCTGAGTAAAGGCTTTCCCACAGTCACTGCATTCATAAGGTTTCTCTCCAGTGTGAATTCTCTGATGTATAATCAACTCTGACCTGTAGGTAAAGGCCTTCCCACATTCAGTACATATGGAAGATTTCTCTCGAATCTGAACTTTCTTATGTGTGATGAGGTTGGAGCTATTGTTGAAAACCTTCCCATATTTGGTACATACATAGGACTTTGCTCTTGTGTGAATTCGTTGATGTACCTGGAGTTGTGACTTGGAAATAAAGGACTTCCCACAGTTACTGCATTCATATGGTTTTTCTCCAGTATGAATTCTTCGGTGTGCAATTAAGTGTGTCTTCTGGATGAAGGCCTGCCCACATTCAATACATATATAGGATCTCTCACCTGTATGAATTTTCTGATGCATCTTGAGTGTAGACTTTTGTGTGAATGCTTTGCCACAGTCGCTACATTCATGATGTCTTTCTCCAGTATGAATTTTCTGATGTATACTGAGATCTGAGTTATAGGAGAAGCCTTTCCCACATTCACTGCATTCATAGAGTTTTTCTCCAGTATGAATTCTCTGATGCCTGAAAAGAGAAGATACTTGGAAAAAGGATTTTCCACATTCATTGCATTTATAAGGCTTCTCTCTAGTATGGGTTTTCTGATGTGTAATTAATTCTAGCTTCTGTACAAATGCCTTCCCACATTCAATACACACATAGAGTTTTTCTCCTGTACAAACTTTCAGATGTACCTTGAGCTGTGAATTCTGGGTGAAGATCTTTCCAAGTTCGGCACATTCGTAAGATTTCTTCCCAGTATAAATTTTCTGATGTTGAGAGGATGTCTGTTTATAACTGAGGTTTTTACCATACTGTCTATAGTTCCATAATTTCTCTCCTGTTGACGTATACTCATGGTCAGTATACGAAGAAATTTTACCATATTCAGGAACCTTTTTGTTATCTCTTGATGCATTATTTCTATAATGACTATGTAAATCTAAATTATGCCTTAAACCATTCCCAAATGATTCGCAGTGATAGGGTCTCTCAGAAGGAATAACGTTTGGGCTCACATTAATTAATTTTCTTATGTCCTTACATTCATACTGCATCTTTGTAGTCAATATTTTCTTGATGAAAACGACATCATTTGAAGACGTATTTTCTCTTTGCTGATAGCTCTCTTTCTGGTCACCAATCTGCCACAATCGTTCTAGAATGAAAAACAAAGAAAAACCCCTTAAATCATCACCTACCCTCTCAATGTAGAAAGAAGCTTTTTCATAAATTCTTTAGGTTGAAACCCAAACTTCCCTTCTCAAAGGAGAAATAGGTAATTTTAGCTCAATAAACATGTAGCAGAGGCTAGAAGACAGAGCATATTTGGCTCATCTAGGGTGAACACAGAAAGGATGGGGGTAACTTGATGAGAATGGTGTTGAAAGGAAACATTCTGGGATACAATGAAGCAGTTAAGAGAAAATAAACTAGATGAACAGATTATACCATGGACAGATAAAGAAAAATAAAGGTAAAGAATGTGATAATATAATACAGTAACATTTATATAAACAAATAATACATATTCCTAATTTATTTACATTTTATTACTTGGGTGCCAGCAGGTGATGGCCAACTGCAGTTTGAGTCTTGGACATGGCAGCTTGAAGCTCATACCAGGTACGTGTGCCAAAAATCCCAAAAAGGAGAATGGAGAAGGGATTGCACCATGGCCACCCCCCTTGGGGGGGGGGGTGATTTCTCACATTCTCTCTCACTGTTTCTTTGTTTCTCTCCAGCCCTATGATAAAAACCTTAAAAACTTAAAAAATATTTTTTAAATGTTTACAACATGCATAAATTGAAAAATACTTCCATCATATAAAGTAGTGGCCTATGATGAGACCGTAGATGGATATGGGAAAAGAGAGAAATGGCAATAATTCAGTAATGGGACCAGCAAGTGGCATGGTGGTTAAAGCACTGGATTCCCACATGACTGACTACACTTCAAGCCCCAGACCTGCTGTATTGAAAATCACATCAGGCATGTATGCATGCATGCCCAAAACTGCAGGGGAAAAAAAAAAAAAAACAGGGGAAAAGAGATTGTGGCATGGCCATCCCACCAGGGGATGATTTCTCCCCATATCCCCCAGTCTCTCTCTGGTGAGTGCACATGTCCTAAGGCCAAAATCTAAAAAACAAACAAACAAACCACCTCAGTAAATAAAATAGGAATCTTCATCCAGGGTCATGACAACAATGTGTCCTAAAGTGAGGACTATGATTAATCTTAAACCTTATCTGGTGAAGTACAGAAAAAAGACTAGTAACAAAAATTCCAACCAGTTGGGAGTACTCTAGTCACTCAAGTAACATTAGAAGAAAATATCATGAAGGGTGATTAATACTGCAAACATACCAAGAGGGTATCACACCAAGAATTAAGTGATAGTGACCTGTAAGTCATCAGTTGGATAAAATGCATAGGAAATTGAGAATAAATTTCTACATGATGAGGAAAACAGGAAGAGAGTCTTGTTGGCGATAAAGTTCAGGGACATCTCAAAGTGAAAAAGAAAGAAAGGGGACTAGCAGGAGTGGGAACATGTGCCAGATAATTTTGAAAAAGAGTAGATTCAGCCCCCTCTGGGGGCCCCGCTGCGGGGGGGCTTCCGCCCCGCGCAGCCGCGCAACGAACAGCCGTCCCCCCCTGGGGGGCCCCCACTGCCGGGGGCTTCCGCCCGGCGCAGCCGCGTGCCGAATGGCCGGCCCCCCTCCCGG